CCTAATTTCCCCATTTTCAGCTGTGTACCTCACTCCCACTCCTTCCTTCCATTATGGCTGGTGCTCTAAGTCTGGAGCCTCTGGGATTCAATTTCTTAAGAGATTTAACCTCCTGTCAAGGTTGGGTCTGGGGTCATCTTTGGCTGATTGGGGTGAGGATGGGGACCATGGGCCCTTATATTTCCCTCAACTATTCTCCCTGTTTTCATCCTTGAGCCCTACCTCTACTTTTTATGGTACCTCTTACCTCTGAGTCCTGGGCTCTTCAGGCTTTTTTCTTACTGTTATTCATCTCTGTAGGCATAAATGCACTGACACTTTCAAGTGCATTGACACCTCTTATCAACTAATTGGTTCTTTTCTCATTTTCTCATTTTCTTTGTTTTTGTGAGTTTATATCTTTAAAATTAATTTTTAATTAAAAATAAAATTTTTAATTTAAAATTAAAAAAAAAATCTTTCCTGTCAAGTTGGTAGAGTTTGGAGCAGAGGTAAATGCTCATACTTAGTCTACTATGTTTAACAGGAAGTCCTAGCCCATATTTTTATTGAATTAAATTTCATGAAAGACAAATTTCTGCAACTGACTACTAGCAATAATGTTTTTTGGGGTAATAAGTCTGAATATTTAGGATGAAAGTTGAAGTATGTTCATTTTATTTCCCAGTTTTAAAAAAATGTAATAGGGCGCGTGGGTGGCTCAGTCGTTAAGTGTCTGCCTTCGGCACAGGTCATGATCCCAGGGTCCTGGGATTGAGCCCCACATTGGGCTCCCTGCTCAGCGGGGAATCTGCTTCTCCCTCTGCCTCTGCCTGCCCCTCTGCCTACTTGTGCATGCTCTATCTCTCTGTCAAATAAATAAAATCTTAAAAAAAAAAAATGTAATAGCCCTGCATTTTGAATTTAGAATCTTTGGAATTATTTCCTTGGATTTACTTATAACAATATGTTTGAAATGTGTTAAGTAGAAAAATTGGCAGGATCAGAGTGTATGTGTGTTTTTGCAAGTGTGACAGCAAGAGAAACTGATAGAATCCAAGAGAAAAGCAGAGTGTTAGGTTTTGGTGGGGAGAAGTTTGGTATTTCAGCACATAGCCACATGAATATTTTTAATACCATCAATAGTTTTTTAATGAGTACCTAAAGTTGATTTTTTCTTTACTGTCTAGTACCACAGACCATCCATGCTCTATCAATGTCTTAAAAAAACTGTCCCAAGGGGCACCTGGGTGGCCCGGTTGTTAAGCATCTGCCTTCGGCTCAGGTCATGGTCCCAGGGTCCTGGGATTGAGTCCCACATCGGACTCCCTGCTCGGCGGGAAGCCTGCTTCTCCCTCTCCCACTCCCCCTGCTTGTGTTCCCTCTCTCGCTGTGTCTCTCTCTGTCAAACAAATAAATAAATCTTTAAAAAAAAAATACTGTCCCAATTATACTAAGGATTCCTTTGAACGAATGCACTTCTGGCTCTTGTGGCCAGGCTATCTGCAGCTCTCATTATCTTGGCTGCTTTCAGAAGCCTCACATGAGCCAAATGGTGAACAATAGAGATCATTCTTCAGTCAAGCAACTGAGAAGGGGCTGCTTTGGTTCATTAGTCCAAATAGGATCTTTAACTTTTTGAGTTGCAATCAAAAGATCAGTGGAACTGTCATTTCTCTTGTTCTTATAAAATCATTTGAATTTCCTTCAATTTGGCAATGTGAAGTCTTAGTTTCTTGCCCATCATTTTATAGTACCATTGTTAGGTGGTATGAATGGAAATGAAACACATTCCCCAAATATCTAAAGGTCCTGATATAAGGCTAATTGTGGAGAAAACAAATACGTTTTTCTTATCTCTTCCCCTTGGAGAAATTGTAATAGGTGATTCCAATCTTAATAGTTTCATCCTACTTCAGTAAAACTGATTTTCCCTCCACTACCTCTTTGGAGTAAATTTTCACCTTTCTGATGGATTTATGACTGCTATTACCAATACTATGAATTATTATAGTGTCGGATAGCACTACTAGGATGCTGACCCTACTTTTTTAGAAAAAAGAGATAACCATGTTGGAGCTTTAAAATTTCTTGATCATAGAAGACACTGAAACATTAGTCCAGATTCTAGGCAAGCTTTATCATTGACTTTTTGTGTGACTGTTGTAAATCACTTAAGTTTTCTGTGTCTACATTTGTAAAATATGTGACCCTTAACTGTATAAGGAACTCCCCATCTACTGAGCCTAATAAGTAATAGATAAGCTTATCCAGGGGTGAACCTCATGTTTTATTCATCTTTGTTTTCTCTTCCTTAAGTTCATTAATAGTTACTCAGTAAATGTTGACTAAAAGAGTATATGAAAGAAAAAAAAATAGGATATAGGGCAAGTGGTAATCCTGTGAGATCCTCATGAGAGTAATTTTATATTGATTTAGCATATTCAGCTTGATTCTAAAGGCAAAGTTGAGAGGAAGACTGTGGGGTTGCATGTTCTTCAGTGTAACGTGAAGTACTGAACTGATTATAGTGGTTACGAGATTAAAAGATACATATTTTTAATGGGCAAATCCTTTGCTCGAATATAGGCTACAGTCAGTATGTGGCTGAGCAGTGATCTTTCTTGTTAGAGGGGCTCCAGTGTACCCTTTGAATTACCTTCACACTCACTGACTGTTTTAAGAGCTTGGCTACCTTCCACATTTCTGAAAGCAACTGTACATTAGATGTGAGAAAGATGTGGCTCACTTTAAACTTTGGCTGGCATGAGAGAAGAATGGAGAAGGCAGTAGAAATTGTTATGTATGGCCACTACTAGAAAGTGTTCTGGATTTTATAGTCATGGAAATTAAAAGGTGTGATCCAGAACATATCGTCTTTTAATTGTACCCCCCCCCCCCCGCCCCGAATGTTCTCTTCCTCTTCTTCCTTCATCCCAAGTAGTCTCTAAGGAACATCCTGATATAGAAAAGACGTGAAAGGAAGAAGGGGCTGTCCTCATTTTCAGGTTTGAGGATGACATTTCTAGTACTGATATTATGAGAAGGCAGCAGAAATTGTTCATGTATGGACAGTACTAGAAAGTGTTCTGGATTTTATAGTTATGGAAATTAAAAGGTGTGATCCAGAACAATATCGTCCTTTTGTTTTTTTTTCCCCCCCCAGAATGTTCTCCTCCTCTTCTTCCTTCATCCCAAGTAGTCTCTAAGGAACATCCTGATATAGAAAAGATGTGAAAGGAAGAAGGGGCTGTCCTCATTTTCAGGTTTGAGGATGACATTTCTAGTACTGATATTATGGGGGAATTGTGATTTGTTTGTTATATTAATGAAAATCATATTTTTCTTTTTTTCCCCTTTTCCTTTCAAAGGAGCCACCTCTTTCTGGACCTTTGTTTTCCCTCCTTAAGTCACTGCTGAGGTATTTGCAAACCAAGCCAACACTTACATTTTATTCAACAAAGTAGAACAAAGCAACTGCTAATAGAAATAGCCTGGTAACTAGTGGAAAAAGACACAGGACTGACGGAAGTCACAGGACTTGTGTTTAAAGTTCTGTTCATTACTTACCCCCAACCTGCCATTGACAAATCTTTCAACATTTGAGTCTCTCTATCCTCATCTGCAAAATGGGGTTAATGGAGGATTTCATGGGCAAAGTGGGGATAAAAGAGATTAAAAGAGATGACGTGGGTACATTATGCCCCAAATAAACATGAGTTGAATCTTAATAATATGACTGTGTGATTACAACTAAAACTTTTTCTCCTTTTGCTGTCAGAAATGCCTTCGGTAGATTTCAAATTCTTTTTCATACTGTCTGCTCTTCTTTGGTGGGGATCCCATTACATTGCTTGTAACTCGAGTATACGTGGCTGCAATTTGTGTTCGGTTTCCTTTCTCAAGGGTTGAAATAGGCTTTTTAGAGAAGGCACAGAAGTACAAAGCAAAAATTTCAGCACATGCCATCAAATCTCGGAAAGTCATCTAAAGGAGGAAAGATTGCAGCTGAGAAAGGAAAACGGCTCTTTTCTGGGCATCATTTCTGCTCTTCTGAAAAAAAGCCCAGATGTTGCAATATTTTTCAAGGCAGAATATTGTCCCAGATGGAGGAGGAAACACTGACAAGCAGAAAAGGGAGAGATACCTGGGGTTCCGAGGCAGCACCGGGAAGGGGTGGCGCGCCCCAGGCTCAGAACCTCGTAGCTCTTTGTTGGGGGCGGCGGAGTCATCATTTCCGCGGAAGAAATGGCTCCCCCTGGAGAAGTCCCTCCTCTGCCACGGCTCCGCGACCCTCGCGGCCCCTAACCCCCGCCCCTCCCAGTTCTTGCGGACCCCACAACGTGTCGGACTGCGGTGCCTTTAAGACTTTTGCCTGCTGCACATGCTCAGCTCTTTGTGTGTTGTTGGAGTTTTTCTAAGAAAAAAAGAAGAAATAGGCAGGAGGACGGGGCGGAGGAAGGGGAAACGCGGGGGGGAAAAGCGCCGCACTTTTGCAGCTGTAGACGGCCGACGGGAAAGGCTTCTTTTTTGCTGAAGCTGCGAGGCCGGCCGGGTCAGCTCTCGTTGGTGGGGCTCAGGGGGCGCGCGGAGCGAGTGGGGCCGCGTCCCCCCCGCGCGCCGAGGGGAAGGGCACCGTGGGTACGCGGGCCACACCTGGGGGGCCAGTCTCCCCTCCGCTCGCGGGCCGGGCCGGGAGGGCGCGCGCGGGGGAGACCCCGGTCCCTGTCAGGGCGGGGCGAGACCACGGCGCTGGGCCTGTGGGGGGGGAGCGTGGGCAACGCGCGAGTGGGGGCAGGCGGCCCAACACACCGCGGGCTCCAGCTGCAGCCCCTGTTGCCCGGCTGACGGCACGGGAGAGAAGATGGCTGCTGGGGGGCCGCCGGCCGCCTGCCGGGCCGTGCGGGGCTGAACCCCGCTTCCCGAATTCCCCTCCCGCGTTGGGCGCGCCCACCTCGGGGCTCCCGCGGGCCCCCGCCCTCCCTGGCGCGCGGGGCTGGAGCCGAGGCAGTTGGCGCGAGCCGCGGGCGAGGCGGGGCCGCGCGCGGGGTCCCCTCCCCCTCCCGCAAGTCCCCTCCGGAGCGCTCCGCGCCGCCCGCGCCGCCCGCTCTCCGCCTCCGGCCCGGCCCGGGGCGCCGCGGCGGGGGGCTCGGCTCGCTGGGGACGAGGTCGAGGGACCGGGAGGCGATGCCCGAGTGCGACTGGAGGGAGCCGAACGGAGGCGACGGCGACCGGGATCTGTCCTTCCTGACCGGGGAGCGGGACTGGGGCAGGCGCCAGTGAGGAGGAGGAGGAGAAGCGGCGGCGGCGGCGAGGTTTTCTCCGGCCGAATACCGCCCCCCCGGAGCATCGCTGTCCGCGCGCGCGAGCGCAGCCCGGCTGGGCAGGGGCGCCGGAGAAGATGGAGCCGGGGGGCCGGGCCCGCATTGGCCCCCCGCAGCCGGCGGCCCGCGGGCTGTGCAGGGCTCGGCCGGCGGGCGGCGGCGGCGGGGGCGGCGGCCGTGGCGCCTCCTCCTGGCTGCTGTACGGGAACAGCTGGCTGCTCTGCTATGGCTTCCTCTACCTGGCCCTCTACGCGCAGGTGTCCCAGTCCAAGCCGTGCGAGAGGACCGGCTCCTGCTTCTCTGGCCGCTGTGTCAACTCCACCTGCCTCTGCGACCCGGGCTGGGTGGGGGACCAGTGCCAGCACTGCCAGGGCAGGTTCAAGTAAGTGTCTTCGCCGGACCGCGCACCTCAGCCCTGCCCCGCACCCGTCGCGCCCCCTCCCATCCTCCGCCCCCCCCCCGCCCTCACCCGCCCTCAACGCGGCCTCGGGTCTCCGGGGCTGGGAGCCGCCCGCAGCGCGCCACCCCCCCGTCCCCCCCCCGCCCTGCAGCCCCGGCGCGGGGAGCACTCGGCCCCGCGCGGAGCCGGGACCGCCGGGCACGCGAAGCCGTCGCGATGGTCCAGGTGTGCGCAGCGGCTTCTGGTCCCCCGCTCTTGAGCATTTCCATACTCAGTTACGGTGCCAAACACCCTTTTTGTTAGGTCATTCTTTTTTAATCAAAAATTATGCAAGTAACTCAGGAAATACTGGAACATCGCAAAACATTCAAACAACGTAGAAGTGTAAAGGTTAAAAGTTACGGTCTACCAGTACCTCCTTCTACTCCCATCCTACGCCTCTCTCTAGAGGTAACCGCTGCGAACATTTTAGTTTATTTAGTATTATAATAGTGATCCTAAAAGTTTATGATGGGTTTACTCTGTGCCAAACCCTGTTAAGCGCCCGGCGTGGATTATCTCATTTGTTCCTCACAACTCTGTGAGTTACTAGGCTTATTACGCTGGATTTACAGAGAGAACTCGAGGCAATGAATTTAAGTCATTTGCCCAAGATTACACAGTACTAAGGGCTGAGTTGTTATTCCAAATCAGCTAGCTTAACTCTAGAATGTTTACTTTTAGCCAATATACTATATTGAATTTCCTAGGACAGTTTTAATTGAGAATACAAGAGTAACTTTGGGTAATGTAAAATGATGAAATATCTGGACTTTTTAATGCGGTGAAGATAATGGATTTTTCGAACTGTTTATTTCACTGTCATTTGTCGTGTGAGAGCATCACTTTGGTTTTTCTCTGAAGCTCAAGGCCCTGAGGAGTTTTCTTTACAACAGTAAATTTTAGATACTCTCCCCCTATTGGCTGATATTTATTACATTCCTGCCTGATATGAGAAGAAATGGGTGAGTTGAGGGGAGCAGCAAGTAAGATAGTTGAGGTAGCCATCTGGCAACTTGCAGGTAACAGTCATTAAGTAAGTCAACTTCTTAGATTTCTAGATAGTTACTGTGAAATTTGCTGGCTGTTTTGTGGCTCTGAAATTACACTACGTAGATTACTGATAGTTATTGTCAGGATGATAGCAAAATCTAAGTGAAACGTCTCAGGCTCTAAGGCAAAGGTAGGAAGTATGGTTCACCTTATTAATGGATTATAGGAAAATGTCTGGGGAGTTTTAAATACAGCATATTTTCCTTTTATTTTTTTTTTAACTGTTGCCAGTTTAAACCATATCCCTTAAAAGTCATTGTGAAACTGGTTTTTTTAAAGGGTACTTTTTTGTTTTAGGTAGATCCTACTATTTAAATTAGTTTACAGCAGGTTTTTGGAAGTGAAATCTTACAATGAAGCTTCATGAAATTCATTTGTAGCAATAGATTGAAATGTTTTCTCGCTTCCTACTGTCACAAATTAGTATAATACTGTAGTTTCTTTGGATACTTTTTTTTTAATTTGAAAGAGGTGCTAATTAAAAGTCTTAAAAACTGTTTCAAGATAAGGAAAGATACCTTACTGAATTGTGCTTGTTAGTAGCCGTTTTTACTTAAGTGTTTTGCAACTTTGGCTATGCCAGTTGCAGCCAGCTTTTTTATCAAGCAAGAATTTTGACCATATAAACTGGCAGCCAACAATGAATAAAGCTGCATCACTTTTTTTTTACATCTTTCTATAAATAGGAAGATAACCCAATATATATGTGATTTAGGGATTTTGGCCTTTTTGTGGGTGGATTTGCTCCATTTATCTAAAGAGGACAGAGATTGCTATGGTCCTGAGAAGCTCCTATCTACATTTTATAGTAGTGGAACTTGTTAATCAGCTACATCAGCAGCCTGTAACCTCACTAGCAGATGTTGTCTCAGTAGGAAAGATCACAGATCAAGTTAAACTAACTTAAATAACATAGGGAGATGGTGTTCATAAGCATAATACATTAGTGAGTAAAAGAGGAATAGCTTTTTTTTTTTTTTAAAGATTTTATTTATTTATTTGACAGAGAGAGAGAGACAGCGAGAGGGAACACAACCAGGGGCAGAGGGCGAAGGAGAAGCAGGCTTCCCACTGAGCAGGGAGCCTGATGTGGGGCTTGATCCCAGGACTCTGGGATCATGACCAGAGCCAAATGCAGACACTTAACGACTGAGCCACCCAGGTGCCCCGAGGAGTAGCTTCTTAAATATAGTTAAAAAACAGTTAATCCTGAATTAATCATTGAATATAAATCATTTACTTGGAAACTGTTATTTCCTATGATTCATTGTACTCTATTGGTAAGTACTTTTTCATTTCACTATGGAATACAAGCTATTAATTGGAGTAAATATAACTGGTACTACTCTGTGTTTTATGTATACTCTAATGGGTAAAACGTGGTATTTAATGTTAAAGGGAAGAATCAATTTAGAAGAAAAGAATTCTTCCTGGTAAAGTATATGCTAAGCTAAAAAAGGTTTATTTGAAGATGGTGGCTTGTTTTATTCAGCAGTTGAAGTAATAACATGGTGGGAAAGACTAACTGGAAATTCTCACTTCATTAATTATCTTGAAAATCTTTTACTAAGCTAAAGAATAGCAACCTAGCAAACAGATATCAAAAATGATCAATCTTGGTAAGCAGGTGTCAAAATTAATTGGCTGGTTCCATGGTAACTTAGTTTTTTTTCTACTGTGGGGATTTCACTAGGGAATAAGAGAATTCTTCAAATGGTTCTTTAGAATGGAAGATTGATGGTGGGCGGGGGGGGAATGCAGAAGCAAATATGGTACCAAAGTGGTACTTTAGTTCTCTTAGCACTGATTCCAGCCTTCAGTTTCTATTTGAAAAGAATAAAACACTTAGAATTATAAACCATTTCTCACATAGGTAAAAATGAATACTTATCTTTGGCTAAAACTAGGCTGAAAGATTTGGGATTGAGAATCAGAAAGGACAGTGCCAATACGAAATATAATAATTAAGGATATAATATATGCTAATTTGAATTCTATTTACTTGCATTAGGCTAGTATAACATTAGGCTAGAAAACATTTTACTACAAACTTTATTTAAATGAATGACATTTTCTTTTAGAAACTAGTTCTTTAGATTATTTCCGTAGAGTAGTTGAGATATATATTTATATGAATTTATATTTTGTGTTCAGACTTGGACATTTTCTTGCTAATGTGACTTAGGAACCTATGACTTCTTATTTGTAAGCAAAATAAACTAAATTAATGCTCTGAGATTGGAAAATATCTCATATTGTGAATAATTTCTAAATGTAAGTTTATTAAGACATTTATTGAATATTTTTCTAAAATCATTTTTACATCTTATTATATGTTTAATGTATATAGATTTTTTTTTTAACTTCTTAGGTTAGTCAAATGTGGGTACCAAAATTCTCACATTTGTAAAAGAAGTATTCTATTTCTGGTGACAGCAAAATGAGGATATAATAATCAGGAATTTTATTGCTATTTTAAACAGAAAGGGGCAGGGTTAAATATGTAAATATGTTTCCTTAGCTACTAGTAAAAAAGCACACATTATTAGGAATCCTTTCTATTAACAGTAGAAAAACTGTCAGTAACTATAAAGTTGCATTGAATCTTCCTGACCTAAAGTCTGTCTTTCTTTGATTTAATTTTTCAATGATTTTACCCATAAGTTTTTTTTTAAGTTTTTATTTAAATTCCAGTTCATTAACATACAGTGTAATATTAGTTTCAGGTATACAATATAGTGATTCAGCACTTCCATACAACACCTCGTGCTCATTGCAATAAGTGCACTGCTTAATCCCCATCACCTATTTAACCCACCCCCTTCTGGTAACAGTCTTCTTTATTTTATTTTAATTAATTTTTTTTTTTTTAGAGAGAGAGAGAGAAAGTACATAGGGGGGCAGAGGGAGAGGGGGAGAGATAATTTTTTTTCGGAAGGTTTTATTTATTTGAGAGAGAGCGAGCATGAATGAGTGGCTATGGGGGTGGGTGGGGAGGGGCAGAGGGAGAGGTTCAAGCAGACTCCCTGCTGAGCAGGGAGCCTGACGCTGGGCTCCATCCTAGGACCCCAGGATCATGACCCAAGCAGAAGGCAGATGCTTAGTCAACTGAGCCACCCAGGCACCCCAAAATAGAGAATCTTAAGCAGGCTCCATGCCCAGTGAGGAGCCCATCTTGGGGCTTGATCTCATGATCCTGAGATCTTGACCTGAGCCGAAATCAAGAGTCTGCTGCTTAACTCACTGAGCCATCCAGGTGCCGCAATCTTCTTTATTTTAAAATAGGATTATAATATGTAATTTATATCCATGGGTTCTTTTTATATTATTAAAACATAATCACACAGTAGAAATTTAAAATTAGAGTATTTCTTTTTTTTTTTTTTAAAGATTTTATTTATTTGTCAGAGAGAGAGAGAGCATGAGTAGGGGGAGTGGCAGGCAGAGGGAGAAGCAGGCTCCCCACTGAGCAGGGAGTCCGATGAGGGGCTCGATCCCAGGACCCTGGGATCATGACCTGAGCCGAAGGCAGGCGCTTAACCAGCTGAGCCGCCCAGGCATCCCCAAATTAGAGTATTTCTAAGATCTTAAATTGATAAAGTAAGTTACTTTTAGTAGCATGGTTTTCAAAGATGTTATTTATTTGAGAGAGAGAGAATGAGCATGAGCAGGGGGAGGGGCAGAGGGAGAGGGAGAGGGACAAGCAGACTCCCCGCTGAGCATGGAGCCCATCCTGGGGCTTGAGATCCTGAGATCATGACCTGAGCTGAAATCAGACACTTAACTGAGCCACCCAAGCGCCCCAGTAGCATGGTTTTCAAGACCACCTATCCTTTAGCAGATTTGACTCTGCTCCTCCTTTTTTTCTGTACTGGTCTTTTAGGTTCTTG